CGCCGTCGTCGTTGCCGCCGCCGCCGCCGTCGTCGCCGCCGCCGCCGCCAACGCCGCCGCCGCTCTTTCGTACTTCACCGAGTTCAGTTCGAGTCGCGAAGTCGAGCTATTTGGAATATTGACGCGCGTACGTCGCTTCCTTCGATTCGATCAACCATGAGCACCAAGGAAAATAACGAGGTCGCCGTCGAGAAGGTGACAGAGAACGACAAGGCATCCGCGGACGCAAAATGCGACATCAAGGGGATTAAGAGGCCAGCCGAGGTGAGTGGTATTACCGCTTCTCTTTCACCGTCAACGCTATTCCGACGTTTATCTCGTGACGTTCGCGTATATTCGTGTTGTGCGGTGAGATGCGGGGGGGATGCTCGCGGCGTCGACGTTTGTCGTCGCGACGTGCGTCATCCGGAGTCCGTCGGGGATGTAGCGAGACGACGAGGTGAATAGTTAGGAAAAACACGCCACGCCACGCCGCCGCCGTCTCGCGGATCAGTCGCGGGGGACGTTGATTGAATCGTATATCGACGCGCTGCGAGAAGATTGACCACCGCTGTCGCCGCGGCGCCGTGCCGCACCGCGCCGCGACAGCGGTAGCCCGTGACCGACCGCCGCCGATACGGATTTTCCCGCCTGTGCGTCTTCTACGACGCATCGTCGTCGTCGTCGTCGTCAGCCGTGGTGGACCGGTCGTGTCCGCGCGCGGAGCAACGTGGAGCAGCGCGGAGCGTGTGATGTGAAAACTCCGCGCGGAATGTAGCCCGCGCCGCCGAGCGACGGCACGGCGTAGCGAGGTGAGAACGCCGCGCCGCGCCGGCCGGCATTTCTTCGGCGGCGGCGGACTCCATATTCCCGTGCGAGCGACCCCGAGCGTAGTCGAGCACGCTCGATCGGACGCGTGGCCGTGGCGTGTGCAGTCCATGCGTCTTCTCGTGTATCTCTCTCTCTCTCTCTCTCTCTTCCTCTCGGCGCGCAGTGCGACGCGCATTGAGCGCAAGAGGGACGCGCTGTTCACGCTATTGTGTATTTGCGAGACGAGTCTCTCTCTCTCTCTCTCTTTTCCTATCTTTTTCTTTCTCCGTCTTCGCTTTCTCTCGCTCGCTCGCTCCCTCGATGGCCGACGGTGATGATAATGACGATGGCGATGACGACTCCTACCGGAATAAGCTATAATTACCGCGTTCCGCGCTCTCCGAATCGTGAAATTCGAGCGCGACGCTGGAAACGCACGCGTGGAAAGGAAGAAACACGATTAGGCGAGAGAGCGTTATTTAGCGTTCGGTTAACAGAGGTGGGCAGAAGGTGGAGGAGCGAGAGGGGGGAACAATCGGAGAAACGGAATAAATCTCTATGGCGCCATGTGCTAGTTTCTCGTGTACGTCTTTTTTTTTTTTTTCCCCCCATTCGGCGAGATTTCGTCTCCTCGCGCGCGGCTTTTCATCTCCGTGCGCCCTCTACCTACGAACGCGCACACCGTCCTCACTCATCGTCACCCGCCGTTCGTCGCGCGTTTCCATCATGGCGGCCGAAACGAAGCCTTGCGTTCATCACTCGTTCTCTCTTCGTCACGCTCGCACGTGATTCCCTGTCTCTCTTTCTCTCGCGCCGTAATTGATCGATAATTCGCTATAAGAGAGTTAACGTCGAACGATCGATAAACGAGTCGAGCGACGACGCGTCCGTCTACTCCAGGTCGCCACCTGAAATTGTTTACCGATTCGCGCGCATAAACGACGCGCGCGACGAAGGTTTCCTTTCCTCTCGCTCCGAGTATTTCCCTTCCCCCCTCCCCTCGGTCTATCCATCCGTCCATCCATCTATCTGTCTGTCTGTCCCTCTTTCTCTCGCACTCCGTTCTCGGCAGTCTCTCTCGGCACTGTGCCGCGGTTATAGCCGGCGGCTCGCTCCGTCCTTCTCTCTCGATCTTTTCGCCGAAGGTACCCCACTTGCGCAGCTAGCGGCAACGCCGTGCATTATATACTCGGTGTGTGTGCTCTCCTACCTCCTTGTTCTTTTCGCGGCTGTGGCGGCGGCCGCCGCCGCGCGCAACGGCGTGCTACTACGAACCTTCGAGAAAACATCGTTGCCGTGATTTTTCATCTTAAATCGCGGCACACCGCCGCCCGTCGCATCGTCGCGTCTCGGCCCGTCGTGTCGCCCCGCGATAGGCCGTATTTTTAGCCGATAATTTACCATGAGATTGCGTCTCCGCGTCAAGACGTAACGAATGACGGAAATCCGGAGGAGTCGCCGCAAATTTTTTTCTCCGCCGTGTCGATCGTCACGTGGACCCCGACCACGTCAGGTCGATGTATGTCCTTGTTATACATCGGTGATTCCTTCCGAGGAATCGTTTCTCTGTCTGTTAGATCGCGCGCGCGCGCGCGCGCAAATGACCGTGGAGAGGCCGGCGGAAAGACGCTGGAAAAGGCGGACGATTTTCGAACGTTTTTCTCCCGATGTATATATATATATATTGTATGTATTCAGAACACCCTTTTCACATAGACACGCGCGCACGTATGCGCGCATATGAAATGTGACACAAAAAAATGTACTCGCACAAACACGTTCGCGCACGCGGAGTGTTTGTATGTGACAGAGAGAGAGAGAGAGAGAGAGATTAGTATCGCGCTCCGGAACCGACGGACGGGAAAAGGCGGGAACTCGAGGCCGAGGGAGAAGAGTTGAATGGAATCGCGTTTGTACGTCGTGAGTACGTTCGAAAGAGATTGGCTGCGTTTGGCAGAAAAAAAAAAAAAACTAATCGGTTAACGCATACAGTAATTCCGTAACGCGATTCGTCCCTACACTTGGATCCAGCGAAGAACCGTATCCGGCAAGAACCAATTGTATTAAAGAATCGTTGCGCGCCAACTGGTCAGTTTTCTGTGCTGAACGCAGCTATTCGCTCCGCTTTTTCGACTTTCCGAATTGCTGAAATCATTCTCTCCCTGTCCTTTCTCTACCTATCTATCTATCTCGGTATCGATACGACGTGACCGTCGTTCGGCGATCGAACAGCGGTGTTTCCCTATTGAAAGAAGGCGGGAAAAGGCGTCGCGTCGATCGGATAACACAGTTATGGATCGATGTTCCGCCAGCCAGAAATAACTCGTTACATTTAATGGTTATCATCGCGTTTCTCTTTCTCACTCATGGCGTTTAACTTTTCACGCGCGCACCTTTTTCTTGCTTGATTATTTTAATTAGACCAGCTATATACGCGTTTTCAAACTCGTGCTGATCGATGGTTCGTTTTTATTCGTCATTTATTTTTCCGAATGTGTTTCCGTCGGAAACTGAAGAATAAGATTGCTGCGCGATATGAGAGAATTAAAGAATTCGACGATTTCGAGAGAGAACGCATAGATTACCGATCTCGCTGACAATCCACCGATTCACCCGTATTATCATCACGTGTTAATTACGTAATAGGCGTTCATCGCGCCGACCGTTCGTAGAAATTACACGAGCGTACAGTCTACACGATGGGTATTATGAGTATTGGGTTATCTGCGAGACCTTACGATATTGGGAACGGATAGATAGGTAATCGCGTGCGGGGATAACAAGCGTCGTCGTCGTCATCATCCGACCAACAGCGTTTCAATGTGCTGCTGTCATTCACGTTGAGACGCTCGCGAATTGACGAATGGGAGTTAGCGGCGGCTGCGAGTTGTCGACGAGTTCGAAGTAACCCGCGCGTCAGCTCTTCGATCGGATTACTATTGTTTGTAGACGCCACGCCGATGGTAACCGATCTCTCATTAGCGTTTTATCGCAACAGGTCGAGACTCCATATACGGTGATACAATTATACTCCAGGTTGAGTTAGAGAGAGAGAGAGAGGGGGGGGGGCGGGAGGAGCAGAGAAAGAGCGTAACATTGATTGAGTGTCGAGTGTTTCTCGATCTTTCTTCGAGAACACTCGCACCGCCATTGAAAGCCAAATTGCGCGTCACCGATTGTGTGCTTTCGGTATTATTAATTGGATAATATTGGATATAGATAATTCGACGTTATTCTTATTATTACTCCGATCGTCGCGATCGATCGCGCTATCGATGTGATAGTGCGGGGCGTCCCCGCGGTAATTCCCCTCCCGTTCGACGCGATATCCGTCGTGATATCCTCACGGAATGTCTGGCTCTTTTCTTTTTTTTTTTTTTTTTTTCCAGTTTAGATTTATACTCTTATTCGAAGGCTTCGCGTTGCACGACACTTGGCACGCTGCTTCGGTATCTTCCTCCCTTATCTTCTCTGTTACTTCGCTCGCTCACTTGCGAATTGCACGCAGCTCGAACGTATCCCCGCCATGGCGCGCGGCTCCGTCATCTGCCAATCACCATGGTCTTCCCACCGTGCATCGTCGGCTCGCGCGTCTCCGATTGGCCGGCGGGGCTCCGCGCGCGCATCCAAAGCCTTTTTCTCATCCCCGCCGAGATACATACGGCGCGTGTATACTATTACGCCAGCCGGCAGTCGCCACCACACTCACACACACACACACACCACTACCATCACCGTCGCTTTCCGCTCCTACCACCATGATCGCAGTCAGCTACGCCGTATGGTCACGAGTCCGGCGTTGTTACCGACGCGGTTCTCGCAGCCGTGCTAAACCGGAGCGACATTAGAATATGCCGAATGTTGGAAACCGCTGTCTCCGAAGCGTCGTCGTCGTCGTCGCTCCGACCTTTGAGCGGCATATCCGCGGAGCGGACGCCATACTGCTACTCAACGCTATATGCACTGTATTTTATCGTGGCGATCCTCTAAATCGCTATCGCGACAAGTCGTATTCCGAAATAAGAATCGCATAAATAATTTTCTCGACAGCGGCGGCGCGTTTTCAGATTGCCCTCGGAGCAAACTCCAGCTCTCGGCTGTGTGTTGTCGCTCTCCTCCCCTCTTCTCCTCTCTCTGAAAATCGATAAACTATGATACTTATTGCGTTATGGCCGTTACGGGCCATCGGGACTGGATCAAGGGCATGGTTCCACAACCGGAGGGTGGGACGGGTGAGGGGGAGGGAGGGGACGGCGGGTGGGAAATAGGAGGGAATTAGCGTCGCACGCGGGTGTAGGCGATTATACAGAGTTCGCATTCCCTTTTGCCTATTTTATGTAAAGTACGCTCCGACCAATCTCTCCCCCCCCCCTCCGCCGCTCTCCTCTATCCCCTCCCCTCTATCCTTCCCTCTCTCGTGAGCGCGCACATGCACGCACGCACACCTTTAGCACGCGCCGGCTTTGAAGTACGCGGGGGCGAAGTCACAGGACAGCACCGCGAGCTAAACGTTTATCGGTAAAGTTGCGATACTCTCTCTCTACTACTACCTGTTCTTCGTGTTTTCGGCTCTGCTCCGGATCGCTCGGTTCCCTCCGCCATTTCCCTTTTCCTGTCCCACTGTATTTTAGCGAGCAGGAAAAGTCCCCCCCCCCCCCCCCCCCCACAGCGCACCTCCCTTTCCGCGCCGTCGTATTTCTTGGCGGGAAGAAGGGATCTTATCCTCGCCGGCCGGTGTACGCTTTAAGCCTCTGTCCTTCTTTCGCCACCGCTGCCGGCGACTCACGTTTATCTACTATCCGTTTCGTGCGGAGAAAAAGGGATACGCTTTCTTACGATACGCAGAATGAGATATCAAACGTAAATCTAAATTCTATGTAATCGGATGCTGCATCCTCGTGTGTGATCGGTAATAATCGTTCGTTTATTCGCTAAGGTGCCTACTTCTCGAGATTTGTTTAAAAAAAAAAAATCATTTTTGCTTGTTTCGTGTTACAGGAGAAGAATGAAGAAACAAAGAAACAGAAAAAAGAGGAGAATGGAGATGGTGAGGTAGAAGAAGAAGAAATTGAAGAAGAAATCGAAGAGGAAGAGGAAGTAGACGGTGATGGAGAAGAAGATGACGATGATGATGACATACCAGAAGGTGAAGAAGATTTAGAAGAGGGAGAAGGTAAATATAAGCGATTTGTCCAACTGTATCTCGAATGGATTTTTGAAATGAGAATGTTTGCAACTTGATTGTAACACGTTTATTGTTATGTTGCAGACGAAGAGGACGATGATGCGGAAGGTGAGGTAGAAGGTGAGGTAGAAGACGACGAAGACGACGCATAATGAAAAAAGGGAAAACATTATGCAATTAAGAAGGGAGGCGTTAGGCACGTGACGACATCATGGTCGATTTTTGGCAAACTCAGCAAACTTACTCTCATATTGAGTGGTTGGTAACAATGTTGATATCCATCGTGCCCAATCCGTGTTATTGGATCCTCTCTATCTTCCGACCTACAAGTAAAAATTACCATCTTACCAGAATTGTGGTGGGCTGATGCATTAGATGTAATTCTCTACTTGTCTTGGCTTCTCGCAATTCTGGTTTAGCCGTCACCAAATGCTGTTAGGTAGTTTGAATGATAACTGTATATTCGTCCTGAGGATTCGATTAGTTGACACCTTATTTTCTGTCTAGATTCTTATTTCCATCGCGAACCGATCGTTCAATCGTTTGTGCGCACGAGTCCCAAGACGAATCTACCGTTTTATCCGAACCACCTACTAACTGGTATTTGCCGTCATCTGGCTTTCTTCGTCGGGACAGTTAAATATAACAAAACTTATTTAAGATATAAAAAAAAAAACTTATATTTAAATAGTGTAAAATTGATATTTGAAGGTGATTTTTTTACATTTAAAATCAAATTTACGTTTGTAGTTCGACGAATGTCTCTCACCTTGTGTGTGTGATATGTTGAGTTCTTCTTCTCGAATCGAAATGTGTAATTGCAGTGTCTTCACAGGAGCGCGAGGCCATCGAGCAGAATTAAGCGATTCATACGTAACATATACGGCAAATTAATAAAGTAAATAGGCACGAATATGGACATCTCTCGGCATTCAATGTATACTAAAATGAGGAAAATAGACGTATCACCGCTTCGTGCTCCTGTTTGGTAGGGAATAGAGACAGGAATTAAGGTAAATGCAACGCTCGCGTCAAGTAGTGTGGATGAATAACATGTGACTTTAATATTGCATAATAATTATACATAGTATGTATAAAGTTATGGGATAAGAAACATTTTATTATTAACGATAATATTATGTAAACGTAATATAATGCGGAGAGGTTGTTACACTTTAATCTTGGGCATAGATAAGGGAGAGTATCGAACAGTCAACTTGTAAAGTGTAAGGGCCCCTGATCACCCTTCTCTATTCATTTCGATCAATTGTATCATTTTTTGTAGAAGATAAGAGTTCAATTATATACATGCATAAATCTATACATGTATATACACACACACACACACACACTATATATGCTTATATATATGTATATAATTTGTATACATATACATATGTATATATAATTCCAGAACTGCCGTACATAACGCGAAAATTATAAAAGAGAAAAAAAATTCAAACTACATTGTGAATTCCGTATTAAATTATACTCTCCCTATTTTTGAATGTTCTCATTTGAGTGTAACTCAAGCGTTTCAGTGTTACTTTTATCTGCTATGATTTTATCTCGACTTTATTGTGGACTGTTTACATGGCAATGATTCTTGGACTGTTGTAAAATGAGTTGGCGATATTTATTCGTTCTCATATTTTTCTCACACACACACACACAACACACACACACACACTCACACACACACACATATA